AGGCGTCCGGAGGAGAGAAAGTTCGGAGAGGAAACTTTTCTCCATCTCTCGCGTAACTTTTCGTATTACCGATGGAACGTAACGCGACGCGGCCGCGCCGTTCCTATTAATCTCAAGCGACCCACATTTGCGACAATTCTCGAATATACTTGCCTGGAAGCATCCTTCCCGCGCCCTTCCCACTCCGAGCCAAATCTCGGCGCGATTCTGCCACTCGTGGAACTTCATTCGCTCGCTCTCACTTATCGCGCACCGATTGGTATCACGCGGCGCGACCAAGTGTTACGCTCGGCGAAAGCGCGCGAATATTAGCTCGCGCGGTATCCACGACGATCGGCAATCGACTACCTGCGCCGCGTGCTCGCTCCGTAACACCGGGCGCCGCCGATGACTCACGCGCGTAAGGAATCTCCGGTGTGCGTAAGATGCGACGCGTATGAATGAAAATAACGCTGGTCACCGCGTTACGACGAGGAAGTGAGAAGAGCGTGGGTGCTCGAGGAAGCGTGCTTTCATGAATGAAGCGACGACAATGTGCGCGTCTGACGCAAAACAGTTCCTTCCAGTTACGAACGTGCCCGCCGACTGTGCTCAGAAAGGATTTAACAGCTTGCTGATCATAAAGAATGATCAAAGCGACGTCGCTGCGCTCTGTATCGATCGCGACGGAGCTCGAGGCGTCGCAGATTCGCAGCCACATTAATCTCGTCGTGTAAGAATAGCTCGATGACGCGCCGTATCCTTGAAAGGCCTAATTTCGTCGAAAGCGACGAGACAAACGCGCGCGCGCGCGTGTATTTCAACCTTTCGTCGCGCGCATAATCTCTCGATGAATCATTTTGTTTTGTGAAAATAATTGATTGTCGCGCGAATCGATTTCGCACGGCGAAAAGGGGTCCATTAATCAGGCGACGCATGCGGCGATCGGCGGTGATTATTTTCCTATTTATTGCCTACTTATTTTATTAATCTCGCGTCGCGCGTAAACGCACTGTCATTACCGGCCGCTATCATTACTGCCTCAATTCGTGCGTTTCGCGCGAGGCAGGAATACGTGAGGGGCGCACTTGACGCGCGCGAAAGAATACTGCGTCGTAGCCGAAGGTCCCGTCTGCGAAAAAGCTCCCCCTTCAAAACGCGCGCAAAAGTGCGATAATGCTCGTCGAAAGTCCGACGACCCGGTACACTCTTGTGTACAAACGCGCGTTATATACATAGCGACGCGTGTCGGTGCATCGTGGTAAGTAAACGTGTTTAGCGCCCACTCGAGAGATTTGCGAAGGTTCTCAAAACCGGAGACGCGAGACCACCAGAGGAGAATCTGCGCCGCGCGTGCTATCTCTCGGAGTCCCGATATCGCGCGTGTGCGCAATTATTGCGATTATTCTGCTTATATTGCACGTCCGACAACGGAATATCGTTCCGATTCTCAGAGGTTCACGCGCCTCTCTCTTTCACATCGACGACTCTGTGTAAATTCAATTAAAAACTCCGCGATAAGGCGAGCGTTAATTAGCCGCGCGATGAAATCGTTGTCGTGCGAAGAAAGGAACAATTCTCTGATTTATTGACTCTGTTATATCAATCCGGGGCATTATTTTACGGGTTAAACCGGGCGTACAAATGCCGCGCGTACGTGCTGAATAGGGACGAGAAATGGACTCCGGCACTGTTGGCACGCGCGAGCGAAGCTCAGCTTAATTCGTGGCGCGATTGCGAGTTAAACGCGAGCCGCGCGCCAGTGCTTTCGCATTTGCGAACGATTAATTTTGCATCCGCGCGCCCGCCCACGCGCGTTAAGTTTCGCGAATCGCTGCGCTCGCCCACGTGCACCAGTACAGATGCACAGCGGCAATAATGCAACGATTCGCGGACTTCGTCCTATTATGTGCGAAAGCCGGCCCGTGATTCATCGCCGATACGTTCCAACAACGGCCTTGCTATCAACGGCCGCCACTTTTAAGCCGTTAACCCCAGCCGGCGTGTCGAGGGTTTATCGCTCGCTCGGAGCGAGGCACGCTGCGGAATAAATCGCAAACTTCTTTTTTTTTTCGCTCTTTCCGTTCCGGCGACTCGCGCGGAAAACACGTATATAATGTCGCGTCGTAAATAAAAATTTACTCGGTAGAAGAAAACGCGCGACTCGTCAGCGACCTTGAGTCTGAGTCGCGGCGCACACGTCTCTCCCGATTGCGGAAATACAGTCGTGCAGAGCGCACGTGGAAAAATAATAATCGGGAAACCATAGTAGCGACAACAAACAAACGTGGCACGTGGAGTCCGGTGCGCGTCGAGCAATGTGCGCCGCTGTCAGTTTGAACTTGCAAATTCCATTAAGCACCAAGGCTGCATAATCCCATTGGACGGTGCGTCCAATCAACGTAAATTTACAGCTAACTAGAGGATTTATATGAGCGGACGGCTAGCGTGCGACTTGCTATTCAGAATGCGGCTTACTTGTAAAACGCACCGGTGCTCGTTAACTCGTTGACGAGCGAGCGCGAGACTTTCGGCTCGGACCGGTGCGCGAAACGTGATGGAAAAATGCAACGAAATCCCGCCGATGTAATCGAAGCGAAATTCGAAACAACAATTTTTTTTCCCCGTTGCTCGAATCAATCCCGGATTTAAAAAAAATACAATTGTATCTTCCCGAATTTCGCTTTTATCCCTTTTACCTCTCGAGAGATTGACAAAACATGAGTTTCGGACAGTCCATTCTTTGAAAAAAAAATCGCGAGTCTGCAGCAATAGTCGGAATATTTGAGAGTTCCGCTCGAGCGTTCGAAAAATCCCGACAAAATAACACATATCTCTGGCCGCGTCTCGAAATATTCTCTCTGCTAAATGTTGACTCTCGTTAAATCGCGTCCTACGCGAGTCTACGGCGGGCGGAACGAATACATTCGCGTGGCTTAAGGCCGGACTCTGTCCGGCTGAATAATTAATTTGCATTCGCGAGAGCGATGTAGAGTCGCGAAATTATCCTCGGGTAACAACAACCTGTTTCCAGTCTAATTAATCCAGGTGTACGCGCGACGACTCGTCCGGGTCGCGGCACCATTAGCCTCGTTAATTAATGACACCGAGATAACGTCGTCTCGACGATAGCGGGCCATATCTTCCACTTCCCGTCGACGTACTCTATTATCCGAGAATACCTGAAAGCGCGAGATTGTAATTCTCCGTGTAATTCATACGACAAGTGACGAGACGCAGAAGTGAACGATCGCAGTTTGAAAAAAAAGAAAAAAGAAAGCAATGTGTATTTTTCGTATTATCATTCTCCTCGTCGTAGCGAGTCATCTCTCGCCTAGATCTGTTCGGTCGTGAAAGCGGCGCGGCGCGTGTAAACGGAATCGGCCGCGAATGTCGTCATTACGCGTGATCGCGCGTAATTGAAAGAAATTTGCTGTGCGCCGTTGTTCAACGGCCGCGACAATTAGAGTTGGAGAAAGTCAGGAAGTGGGTATTAGCGGTCTTTAACAAGAGACACCTTCGACAAGATGGTTTAATGAGACACCGGCTCCGTTATCTCGAACCTTAAACACAACTGCTCAAACACCGCTCGCCCGCGTTGAATAGCGACGCTCGAATCGCCGCGCTATTGGCAGATCTAATCGATCGTTGACCTCGAAAAATTTCGAAATTCTCATACTGGTCTGTAATTGCGCTCAATTCTTCGTGTCTACCGCGAAAGTTCACCTCGCGATTAACATGTGATTCGCATTCGCGCGTATACGAGAGACTTTCGCGGAAATTTCGACTGCGATATCGGTTAGTTTGGTCGTCGGTCTTCCGGAGACGAGCCCCGAGTGAAATCAGCTCAATTAGCGTCGAAATGTTTTATTCGTCGGGGGAATTCTAGAAGCGCGCGGCGTTAAAACTGCCGACCGCGATCACGGCCGCGCGACCACAATTCGCCGGACGAAATTGACCATGGATTTTTCTGACCTACTTGCTTACATAATTGATGCGCCAGCTCCGGCGCGCCCTAAGGACATCGTTTTTGCACTTTCGCTTGATAAATTTTAATGCACCGCCGACCGCAGAGATCGCGTTCCTGCCCTCGTTTCTATCGCTCCTCATGCATCTTAATTGTCGACAATTTCGACTCGTACAAGAATAACGTGCGTTTTATTCAGATAATAATTCCACCGTGGAAAAATGGTCGCTCTACGCGAATCCTTCGTTGCGCTTCGATCAACGTCTTACTCACTCACAAGGTTTTACAACCTTATCTGTATTGCAAATTGAAGTAAAATTACTTTAGCGTGCGCAACTTCGTCTCGCAGTAAGAAGAAAAGTTTTATGGTCATTCAAGATTGAAGAAAGCAATCAAGAGGCAACAGAGCGTGGCAGCAAAGCATGTCGATTGTTTCCTCGGATATTAGATAGTTTAAAAATTATATTCTTTACTCCGACGCAGATATTCTTTACTCCGACGCAGATGTAATCTCGCGATAGCGATAAGGCATCTTCGAGAAAAGAAATTGCTTCTAAAAGTGCGCGCGAACACACGTCGGGACGGACGATTTCTCCCGCATGCGTAATAAATTCCGATAACAAAACGAGATTTACATATTCGTCGGATGTATAAGCATTAGCATCGACAGTCAGTTTCTCTTCGTGCATATTCAAGCGCCCGCGCAACGCTGTAACGACGCCTAGCGCCCGGCGTTTCCCGGCCACGTTTATAATAGAGTTCATCGCAAAAATGATCGCCGTACGCGTATCGGGACAACCCGATGCGAGCTGTCCTCCGTCGTGTTATTAAAACGGCCCTTCCTGTTCGATGTTAACGCGACATGCATGCTAATCGAACGGACTGTTCGTATCGACAAGCCTCGCCACGTGGGTGGAAAAGCCGTTGGCGCGACACAAACTGCGCTGGATAGCCGAGGGATAGCGGCGCTCTCTCGGCGTAGATTTCTCCGCTAACCCCCTCGGTTACCGGCAGCGACACTACGATTTCTTAGTAGCAACTTAAATTAACTCACCCTTCCCTTCTCTTGTGTCGCATGTTCTTTGGATCGCCTACTCACCTGCAAGACAGAATAACAAGAGATTTAGAATTACATGAATAAATTTGCGTAGATAAATTGTTCATTTGCATAAATAGATTTTCAATCTGCATTCCCTATCTTCAGAAATTCCCTATCAAATCGCGTTGCGATTAAAAGGGCGGGTGATGAAATAAAAAGTTCGAATCGAGCGGATTTTCTGCTCGAATGCACCGTTCGAAAATTTCACGCCTTGATCGGACGAGCGCTCCTCTCGAGATCGTTTTGCAAAGCCTCGGGGGCGTCGAACGAGCAATTTTAACGAAGTATCGCGCCAATAAAGAAGCAAGTGCAACGACTGACAAATTACACCGGCGAGTCGGTGCACTCTGCGGTTAGTTGATAAAGCCTATTGGGCCTTTTGTGGTCGTTCCGTCGCCCTTTGTCACCCTGTTACGGGGAATTAGCCACCTCGCTTCACCAGCTTCGCGGTACGAAAGCAATCGGCCTGACGCAACACCGGGCGCGGCCGAAAGAATCGCCGGCGGTTCGCGAGCGGTCGGAATCGCGATATTTATCCGCTCGGAAGGAACAATAAAAGTGAAACGAGCTCTCGATTACGCGAATATAATACATGCACGGAGAACACTCTCTCCTCTCTTTCACTGTCCCTCGTGAACTGCATTTATTTTTTCCCCGAGCAATTAACTTGGTAAGCTCAAAACGGAACGCCGGCGATAACTACATTTTAACTACGCCTTAAACGTACACTTTCACCGAACTTCCTGTAGCGTGAGCTGTATGTATACACAGATAATGATCAAATCGCTATTATTATAATTTTTAATATGTTCACGTCTATATCAATTAAATTAAAAAAGAATTTCATATATGTATATTTTAGATTGCAGACGCGATCGATAGAGCATTAAATATACGTAAGCGTTTTTTTAATTAGTGATGAAATGAATTCTCCTCGTGCGGAAACGTCCACGTGCGGCAGTAAAAATGTTCATATCGGCGAGAAAACGATGCGTCAAGGCGGAATGATGCCGTGCGAAACTTTCAAGAACGTTTTATGCGAAAGATCGCCGAAAAATTCGCACCAGTTTCGGCGAAATTCGATTCGCGAAAGCAACGGAGAAATCATTCGACCTACTAACTGATGAATAGCATCGCGATTCGCGAACGATGCCGCAATGTGACGCAAGCGTGTTATACGTGTGAAGAACACACGCGAAAACAACGGCACACAGTGAAATTTGACACCGATATAATTGCGCGATAATGATTTTCCGAGTACTTGCTCAACGGACGCGACCGAATTTTGATGTTTTCGCGATCGATCGCGCGGCGCATGTAAAGTGATTCGGACCTCCTCGTGCGAGTCATCGGCGCTCAATAATACGCATTGTAATAATAATCGCTTCCGTGTTATTATGTCTACAGTGACGCGAATATTTGAAGTTTCAACGAAGAGGGACGTGTGCTCTTGACATTTATGCGAGCATTATTATGGAAACCATTGAAATTTCAATACATTCTCATTCGCTTCCAATCGATCAAGCTCGAATATTGGTTCACACATGCGAGAATCCTTGAGCAGTGACAGGTCACAAATATTTCTCCTCGAGGGAGAAACATTTCATAAAGAGTTCGCTGGTTCTCCCGATAACGTCAGATGTAAAGGTCGCCGAATTTTTCTAGTCGCGCGTGATACCGCGACTCTCCTCTCCTCGGCGAAACATTTCGGAGAAATCCAATTATCGAGAGAGTCAGCGCGAGAGCGAGCGAATGACAAATGGCGCGATAGCGCGCGACCGTCGCGGCAGATGCTTCGTTCTCGCGGCTACCGCGGGAATCGCGGAATGCGCACATAATGCTATTCTTTCATGCGGCTATCTAAAAGGTCGTCGAATTTCGCGAGCGGTCCATTATTTCGCGGGCGCGCACGCGATAAGGCGCACTCTCTCGCGCACAATAATCGATAATGTCGAAAGGCAGTCAATCTCGGCGACTCACGTCACAAGAAGAGTCGTTACTATTATTTTCCCTGATAACGCGGGGCTTCGCGAAATCGTGACTTGGAGAGGAATTGCACTCCGAGACGTTAAAAACGATGCTAAACACGTTTCATAAAGAGAGAAATCATAGAGTTATCTCAGTTGATGTTATCTCGCTCTGTCTCACGGAACGTTTTTAAACTCGTTTCTCATTCCGGTAACTCATGTAACGAAAACATTGTACAGCGCTTTAAAATCTCACCGTGGAGAACTTGAAGTTCAGGAAGTCGTAGTACCTCACCAGGAACTTCATTATGCAGCTTCAACAATCGTGCAGAGTTTGAAGCGAAATCAGTATTTCCCGTCTCTATCTTTCTCTCTCTCTCTCTTTCTTTCTCTCTGTTGACGTACAATGATTAGCGTGAATCAAATTTCGCGATTATATCCTCGAGAATCGATAAGCCGTTAAACCACGCGAACGACCGGCGCATACGAGAAAATGAATTGCACTGAAATGCAACCGACAGACGTAAAAAGCATTGCTCTGCAATAAAGTTATCGAGTCGCTTAATGTTATCAATATAATGCTCCAACGACCTGCTGGGTTATCCCGGCATTCGCGACTTTTCGACGAGCCGTGTGAATTGCAACAATCGAATCGTCGGATTAATCGTACTTTTCCTGAATAATGCGCGCGCGCACAGATTGATCTTTTCTTTTCTTATCTCGCGGCAATATATCGCGCGCACTAATTATTTCGATGATTCAAGATTAAGCGTTCCAGTAAGATAAACCAATCTCGTCGTTGATTCATCGCTGTAGATCTTTAAAAGCGAGATTCTCGTATGATAAAAATTTGCTTACAATATCACAGAATTTAATTATAGCTCACTGTGAACAAAGAAACGAGTGCATTAATTGCAGTGTATACGCGTTATAATTTGCAATGGAAAAACAAAGTGCGTAACGTTATCGTAACGCAATCGCGGTTGCGTTACGATAATTGAATGCGTTTACGCACCTCCGCTAACGAGAGCAACCGATGGCGCGTACACACGCGGAAACGAACGTGTGTTACTCCCCGTTTCGAATCGCCACTTTCCAACGCGCCGTGAAATAGCGTGAACTGCGACGTAGAAATGCGCGTTTTGCGGCGCGGGATCTTTGCATCGCGGGAATTTATCGGCAGTTTCTCGGTGGAAAATGCACGCGACGAATATTGCAAAAAAAAAAAAACTTGGCAAAGTTTACTTAGCACGCGTCGCAATTCAATTGCGTAAGCTTGTTTTATCATTTGTGTAAATTGTTGTTGAAGGTTCACATGCGCGCGGCGTGTACATTTTATATATATTTATCACTGCCGTGACAGTTTCGATTGGCCGGCGCTCGTAATGCGCTATCGGAAAAAACTAGGACGACAATGCGCCCTCGATTAGCCGACGATTCGTAATCGTGTGCACGCGTGTCCAAAGATCGACCTACTTTCCGCCCGAGGTGGTGGCGCGATCGATCGAGCCCTCGAGATACGTATATTTATTCACGCAATGTCAATTAACACCGGCGCGGATTACCATAACGGTGACCCGCTTTATCAAGAGCCAAATCGATCTACGGATTAATTACACCGCACTGCACAAATTGGCGTCGAAGTCGCGGAACTCTCGCCCGCTGTCGCCGGTCGATCAGCTGATCGACCTCGGTGCGGCGCCGACGGCTGCACGGCACGCGCTTCACACACTCCGCGATTACGCAATCGGTCTTCGACGCGTTCCGAGGAACGCGGCGCCTGTTTAAAAAGCTCGTGACGAGGAACCGCGCGCGAATATGTGGACGCACGCATTCCGGTGCATGCGTGCCCGCCACGTACTTACGCAATCGCAGTCTTTTCGCCGACGCAGCGGCCGGCGCGGCGGCCCGTTTATTTGCGGTCGCGTCGAGAGTGTGTACGCTTCCTTTCGTCGACCGGTAAAAGCAAGCCGCCGCCCCCCCCCCTCCTCTCCTTCGCGCTAAAATTGGAGTACAAACACTCGATCAAACGCTGCGTTTTTCGATAACCACGCGACCGCGATGACATTAATTCGGAGCGAGGAATTACAGAGAGATCTAATTAGCGTGGCGGGAGATCGGTTTGATCAGTGACGTATTTCATTCTTTCTGAAAATTCCAGTGAAATAGTGGACTCCAGCGAAATGTATTGAATAATTTATCGCTCACGTTTAAACCCTTGAATATTAGTGTTGGAAAAAAAATTCGCGTGGATCACGAAGATATCGCAAATCATGCTAACTTATTTCCGTCCGCCACAGAAGGTACCGCCATGCGACTCTTGCCGTAATGAACTATCTTCTCTTTCCAGCAGGGCATTACCAGTTTGTCTAGAATGCCACGGCCCAGTTCGAGGACGTAGTGCAGCAGCAATACCAGAAGTTCACTTGATGCGTCCGACAGCCACGCGCACGCCATCGGTTGGCGCGCCGTTCTCGGGACAATTTCGTGGACACGCGATTGAAACTACGAATATTCCCCGCGGCGGAGAAAAGAAAATAAATATAACCGGGTACTAAATCGCCCGCACTTATCTAGTCGACGGTGCTGACATTCAACAACAAAAATTGTCAAATTGATGCAAAATATTGATGTGAAAAAAAAAACACCGCACGACGTGAAATTTAAAGGCACCGCGAGGAAAATTGTCGCGCGTGTAAAATCGTCACGTTACTATTTTCGTCCATTTACTCCAAGAAGCGCGCTTAAGGATAACTTGATCGCGGAAACCACGTAACAAGTGTAGCCGCACGCGTACTAAGGGCGCGAAATTACATAACGAATTGCAAATGCAAGCCAGCGGAGGCCGATGTAGGCCTCAGCGACGTGCCAGAAACGAAAATACACTCGGCGAAGAAGTCGCGAACGTTCCTCCACTCGGGAGCTGAAATCGGGTCTGTAGCCGCTCTTGGTTTAGGTCGACGCCGTAAACGGCCGAGAAAACGTTCCCGACCCCGGATGTCGCGCGACCTCGTCGCAGTTAGGCCAAATTCG